CAGGATGTAGTCTTTCTAAACAGGCGGTTTTTTAGGGTCTTCGGACCTTTCACCACTTCAAGACCATTCAAGATTTTCAGACTGCCCAAAACTCTCACTTCAGAATCTTCATTCCTGAATTTTCAGCCACTTGATAACCGTTTGTGCAACCTCTGGGCCCTTCACAGCTAGTTCTCATCGCGACTCCAACATTTCTTTGTCTATCAGGAGAATCTCCTCACCCTCCTGCCGGTCCACCTTTTCTTTCTCCCTCAGGCATTTGAAGGCATCTTCTGCAGGTTGTTTCCTGATCTCTTGGACCTCTGTCCAATCCACCAGGGCAGTAGGAGCATGTCGCGTATACTTGGCTTCGAGGTCTTGTATCCTCCTCTCCCATTCAGCTTCCTTTGCCTGGAAGGAAACTTGTTGCGCCTGTAAGTAGGCCCTCAGGACGTTGTTGACCTTATTGAGGGTTTGGTTGACCTGCCTGATGGCCTCGTTCTCTGCCCAAAACTTTTCCATATCTGCTTTTACAGCCTCCATCTCTTTGCTCTGTCTTTCCAGGTCCTTCTTCAAGTCTTCAATTTCTCTTTCCCATTCTACCCTCTGGCCATACGCTTTCTGTGCCACCTTTGTCAGCCTGTCCCCAACCTTCTCATCTGAAGCTCTGGCTGCTGCGAAGCCTTCCTTCATCATGCCCCTCAGGTTGAGTAGGTCTGTAGAGATTAACTTGAACCCCATTTCCTGATGCTGCCCTCCAGACCTTCCTGCAGCGTCCACCAGATTGTCAAAGTTGACCCATACCCCTGAGAATAGGGGGAGGTCCTCCTCCTGAGTGCAAGCACCTTTACCACCTTTGTCATCCATCTCCTCAGGCTCCTTTCCTTGCTGCATCCTCTCATGCAGCTCAGCAAGTTTCTTCATCCTGACCTGAACCCTTATCTCTTGATCTTTTGCCGCTCTCTCTTTCTTGTCCGGTTCCTTCTCCTGAGAAGAGTGTTCCTCCTTGTACTCCCGCACATGTGGCTCATGAGGCATGTCTAGTTCTAGGTCTGACATAGGACAATCCATCTCCCCTTGAGCAAGTTGTTGAGGCACCTCCGGACCACCTGACTCTCCCACTCTCTCGTGCCTATGTTAGCTTTTGAGGCTAAGGCTCCTCTTCCTCCTCTTCTTCCTCCTCTTGCACCACCGCCTTCTTCGCCTTTCCCCGAGTCTGCGTTGCCGCCATAGCCTTTCTTGCTGCCTTTGCCTCTTTTTCCGCATCGAGTTGGGCAACAACATCCTCAAACATCTTCTTAAAGTCTCTCCCATCACTCGTCGTGACATTCAAAGCCTTCCTCTTCTTCCTAGCCTGTCGCATTTGGACGATGTCTACTTGGTCCAACTCCCCCTCTAACACGCCTTCTTTTATGGCAACCCAAGTCAACTTCTTCCCTGGCGCAGCCTTCTTGGTTAGCGCAGAGGCTTCCCAATTCTTGAAGTGCCCTAGGAAGGTTGCACACTGCTCTTCTTCAGCCAACCCTGGGACTTTTCTTGCCATCTTTTCGAATGTCGTTGCGAAGGCCCCCACCGTGGAGAACTCATCTCTCTGCAACATTTCCTGGTCTGTCTTCATTGGCAGACCATCCCCTAGCTTGAAGCACCTCTGCATCTCTCCTTTGGACTTCGCCCAATCTCCCCCTGCTCCAGCAGCCACCTTCATTATCTCGGCCCGGATTTCCCACCAGATATATTTGGGTAGAAACTTAAACTTATCTTCCTCAGGTACCTCGGTTGTAACTTGTTCCAACAGCTCCAACCATTTAGACACCCTTTCCCCTTTAAACAGAAAGATGTCAACTTTTGGTACTTGCAGTCGTGTCTGCTCTCTTTTCTCAATAGCTTTGACGAAATCCTCCGACGTAGCGGTCAGGCCTCGCTCGATTCCATCGGCGTCCGACATCTTTACCTCTTTTTGCTAACCAACCTGTTAGGAAAAAGATAGCCCATCAGACAATTTGTCAAGTTCCAAGGGACTTGTCCTAAGTCCTATCTGGCCATTCCACCTTTAGGTTCAGCCAATCACTTTGCTATTAGTTAGTCGAAGCCTTAGATACGACCTTAAACCATAGTTCTAATCACTTAGTCTTATTATTATATCATACACAATCCTCTTATAAAAAGCAATCCAAACCATAAGCTTTTGTCGTTTTGCCTAGATAATCAGTTTGCACTTAACCTGGGTTCGTTCTCTTAAGGACCCCGGTAGGCAGCCTAGATCCCCGGCAACGGCGCCACCTGTCGAGCGCATCGGTCCCGCATGGGGACCCTCCCGGCCGCGTCACGCAGGATTTTGCAGGACTTGTCGCGGAGAGCGTTTGCCGCTCCGGCCGAGTGCGCCAACCGTACCTCTCGCGAGCCCCTACGACAGGACAGGGTCACGCGAGGCACCGCTTACCTCCACCTGCGGGAGTTGTCACCATCCCTTAGGTGGGCATATCCCTGTCGAGTTACTGAATCACATGCGAAAGTTTTTCGTATGCAATTGCAGAGATGGCCCAGCCGAGGGCGTTTCTCGTTCGCTGTAGCATAGGGGTTACGAGTGGTCGAACGCCCGAAAATCGAACCCGCACGCAAATCGACGTTCTGGGGGGCTGACGTCCCAAACGTGACTCGGCGTCGGTCGACTAGGACGCATTCACGCGTTGCACCACAACACTCACATCTACCCATACATAACACGCGAAGAAAACACAACACAAATACCACAAACAACACCACAACGTTACAACACTCTTAGCCCCTGTGGTATCCGACCCATAACGTTATGCCGCGAGAATCAGATAGGTATCGCGCAATGGTTTTTCGTGTAAGAGTCGTGCGCGCGCATGGCCTCCTCATACCGACCAGCTATGCGGGCACTCGCAAGCACTCGCGCTGATGGGGTACTACGTGCTACTCGTAACTGCGAGGCCCTTGGTAATCTCGAGGGTCGTGTTCGATACTTAAGTGTCGGTTGACGAGCGCGTTGAGGGGTTACCTTCTCCGCGCTAGACAACCACCATGCGCGGTTGACGATCACACCCTCTTCTGCACCCTGTACAGAGGGGTTGAGTAGACAGCTTCAGGGCTGTCGTGGTAGTCGAATTCAAGGGGTTTGACTTTGATGGCTACCACAGATTACAACTTCCAACTATGAAAACTTTAAGGGGAAAACAACTGCAGATAGTCTGATAGCCGTTCCAAATGGAAGGGGTAGGCCAACGCGAAAGATGAGTGCGGATGATGCACAAACTCAGACCCATAGGCAACCCGATGTTCGAGACATTGGGGCTCGTGCACGGGTCCCCATAAGTCGACTAGGACTCATACCCTGCCCAAGTATCGTTTCGCGCTGCCGAAACTTGGGTTTATTGGCCATAACGCGCCTTTGCCCTCTTCGCTCGTCCCATAACTTTCGAGCGCAGAGATTGGTAAGTGTCGCGCGCGCGGGTTAACATAAAGCCGCGCGGACGCAGAACCTACACATACCGACCAAGAATGCGGATTTGTGTAAGCAATCGTGATGTCGGCGCACTATGTAGTGCCCATACCCGAGTGGCCTCGTTTGAGCCATGGGGTCGCTCTCGACGCTCCGGCGTTGGCTGAAGCGCGCGCTAAGGAGGGTAAACCTTTAGTGAGCGCAAAACCGGCCTGAGGGCCTTGCCATCTTCTGCATCCTGAGGTGCCGCAACGGGTGCGGGGTGAGATGGTCAGTAGGGCAGGAAGGGATTCAGAGCGGTGGTGAGTTGTCTGGCGCATCACCAACGACATGCTAATCCTTCCGCCCGGAATTTTATCGTTCCACCAAAACAATTTATAACAAGAAAAAATGGAAAAGATTACTTAACGCTGGCAGGGAAAAATACAAGTGCCCGTCGGACCGAGTTGCTAGGGGACAACCTCCCCTCCGTATGGCGCCTTTGTTTCCATGGGATGGCAAGCAAATCAATGTTCTGGACAAGGACCTTGATTTCCTGGCCCGGGACTAGCGTCCGACCAGGTAAAATCTTTGAGCAGAGAAAAACGTAGGCGTGCGGTCGCGCAACCCTATAAGGGTTACTAGAGCGTACACTTACTCTGGTTATCACATTATCGGGGTGGGGAAAGAACAATCTCACTCAAACAAAAAGTTGTGGGGTAGTTTACTCCCACAACAGTTGTGTGGTTTGCCCATCTGAATCCAAAATATAATCATCCCACATGACTCAATCAAGACTCTTCCATACATACCTGCAAGCATACGCACAACATTCAAACAACATCACACACACTAAAGGGGTCAACTTTCCGACCTCTTGCAGCTCACACCCT